TATTGGTTCCCGGGAAAAGTGTCGGGGGGTTTATTATAAAAATTGGGGGTAAGACAAAAAAGGGGGATGCGGATGAAGGGATTTCAAGGGGGTAGGGGGATGTGTATAAAAGTGTTTACTTTGAAGCATAATGTGAAGTTTTAAATAAAGGTAGGGAAGTTTTTTTGCTTTTAAATGGATTAGAAAAGGCTATGATAGGGGATAAGGAGCAATGTGGCAGAGTGCAAGTATATGGAAAGGGGAAATTTTACTAATGCTGTAAAGGTTTTTTGAGGATAGTGAGGCCAGGTTGGGGTTTGGCAAAAGAGGGGGAAAATATTTCCGGAAAAAGGGGTTTAGACGGGATGTGAATGTCACCAGGGGTTGTTTAAAAAATTTTTGAGGGGTTTTGTAAAAGAAGTAAATGCAGGTTTTGGGAGAGGGGGGAAAAAATTTATGGGGAACAAAACAAAATGGAATTGAACATTCTTTTGTGATGAAACTGTCTTAGGGGAATTCTAAAGAAAAATTGCAAAGGTTAGTGGATGAGTTTGGGAGTGTGTATAAAGGTAGAAAGTTGAAAGTGAACATAGAAAAGAGTAAGGTGATGAGGGTATCAAATGATTTAGATAAAGAAAAATTGGATATCAAATTGGGGAGGAGGAGTATGGAAGAAGTGAATGTTTTCAGATACTTGGGAGTTGACGTGTCGGCGGATGGGTTTGTGAAGGATGAGAGTAATCATAAAAATGATGAAGGAAAATGGGTGAGTAGTGCAGTGAGGTATCTGTGGAGACAAAGAACATTATCCATGGAGGCAAAGAAGGGAATGTATGAAAGTATAGTAGTACCAACACTCTTATATGGGTGTAAAGCTTGAGTTGTGAATGCAGCAGCGAGGAGGCGGTTGGAGGCAGTGGAGATGTCCTGCCTAAGGGCAATGTGTGGTGTAAATATTATGCAGAAAATTCGGTGTGTGGAAATTAGGAGAAGGTGTGGAGTTAATAAAAGTATTAGTCAGAGGGCTGAAGAGGGGTTGTTGAGGTGGTTTGGTCATTTAGAGAGAATGGATCAAAGTAGAATGACATGGAGAGCATTTAAATCTGCAGGAGAAGGAAGGCGGGGTAGGGGTCGTCCTCGAAAAGGTTGGAAGGAAGGGGAAAGGGGAGGTTTTGTGGGCGAGGGGCTTGGACTTCCAGCAGGCGTGCATGAGCGTTTCGATAGGAGTGAATGGAGACGAATGGTATTTGGACCTGACAATCTGTTGGAGTGTGACAGGGTAATATTTAGTGAAGGGATTCGGGGAAACCTGTTATTTTTATATAGCCGGACTTGAGTCCGGGAAATGGAAGTACAATGCCTGCACTTTAAAGGAGGGGTTTGGGATATTAGCAGTTTGGGGGGGGATATGTTGTGTATCTTTATATGTATAAAGCTTCTAAACTGTTTTTATTTTGAGCACCTCTGCAAAAACAGTGAAAATGTGTGAGTGTGGAGAAAGTGTTGAATGAAAGATGAAAGTATTTTCTTTTTGGGGATTTTCTTTCTTTTTTTTGGGTCACCCTGCCTCGGTGGGTCACCCTGCCTCGGTGGGAGACGGCCGACTTGTTGAAAAAAAACAAAAAAAAAACTTCACAGTTATTTTGAATTAATAACATAATGGGTTATTGTTATTATAGTAATGTATAGCAGTGAACCCACTGTGGTCATACAGTCAGTGAACCCCCTGTGGTCCATACAAGTCAGTGAACCCACTGTGGTCATACAAGTCAGTGAACCCACTGTGGTCATACAAGTCAGTGAACCCACTGTGGTCATACAAGTCAGTGAACCCACTGTGGTCATACAAGTCAGGGAGAATGAAAGGTAATCAAGGTAAAAAAACTCCAATTACAGTGCAACCTCAGTGTTGAACTTAATTAGTTCCTAGGTGGTGTTTGAACAGGAAAAGTTCAATGTGGGAAACTATTTCCCAGGCTTTAATTATCAGCATGTTGAACTGACTCTTCCCAAAAATCCTGAAAATCAGGTCATATCAGAGGCACTTCAATCCACTTTTCAAACAGAGCTTCCCTATATAATTTTTTACAACGAATTTTTAAACAAGTCAGCACGTTTGGACTCCAGAAAAATATCCTGAGACTGGGTCAATTTTTCTGAACAAAACTGTTTGGATTCTGATTTGATCGAACAATGAGGTTCCACTGTATTTATATCAAGTGCTCTTCAAAATCATCAAGGGACCTCCCCATTTCAAGTGATGATTCTTGAACACACTGATGAATAACTGCATTAACCATGATCTTCTGTAGAGTTGATGAGATCGTTGACGGAGTGAAGGGTGCCGGAAGGTGGAGGAGGAATGGAGGAGGCCGGAGCCTCACCGGTGGAACACACATTCAACTTCTTGCCACGTAAAAGCTCAGTGCAAACAGACACAGAAAGACCTGGGAGGAGGAACCACAACACAGTGTTACATGCCACAAGCAACACAACATGATATAGAAACATTAAAGGTGAATTCCAATAGCATACTGCTGACACAATGAAGGAAAAAATGTCACAAGCAACACACAAAAACTGAATTAAAGATGAATTCAATTGGAATACTGCTGACACAATGAAGGAAAAAATGCTGCAAGCAACACATACAAAAACCTGGATTAAACATGAATTCAAATAGCATATTTCTAGCACAAGACAAAAAAGACATGTTAGAGAACAAGCCTTCAATGGCACAAGCTTATTAAGCTCTGTGACAAACTTAGGGGTGGGAAGTACAGTGCCTTCACTCAAAGAGAGTGAGGATATAGCACTTCATAGAGTCATCACACACAAAAAACCCGCACATAAAAGAGAGAAGCTTACGACGACGTTTCGGTCCGACTTGGACCATTGACAAAGTCGTGACTTTGTCAATGGTCCAAGTCGGACCGAAACGTCGTCGTAAGCTTCTCTCTTTTATGTGCGGGTTTTTTGTGTATCGTTCCAGTCACGGTATTGTGCCTTTTTGTTATTTTAGAGTCATCACAATTGTGTTGCCTGAATACTTCTGCCAAGGCAGTGACTGAATGACAGTAAATGTGTTTCTTCTTTTTTTTGGGGGGGGGGGGGGTAATCACCCTACCTTGGTGAGAGATGATCGGTGTGTTAGAAAAAAGTTTAGAGTTGTATTAGTCATGATAAAACAACATGTTATTCCAATATAAGCTTGTCCTGCAACATGTCTTTTCCTCAGCTTTGAAGAAAACTTATAAACATTGATAGATGCAAAGTAAGACCACTTGGCACTTACATCCACTTGGGTAAGGGGAAGCAAGACCACTTGGCACTTACATCCACTTGGGTAAGGGGAAGCAAGACCACTTGGCACTGACATCCACTTGGGTAAGGGGAAGCAAGACCACTTGGCACTGACATCCACTTGGGCAAGGGGAAGCAAGACCACTTGGCACTGACATCCACTTGACCAAGGTGAAGCAAGACCACTTGGCACTGACATCCACTTGGGCAAGGGGAAGCAAGACCACTTGGCACTGACATCCACTTGACCAAGGTGAAGCAAGACCACTTGGCACTGACATCCACTTGGGCAAGGGGAAGCAAGACCACTTGGCACTGACATCCACTTGACCAAGGTGAAGCAAGAACACTTGGCACTGACATCCACTTGGGCAAGGGGAAGCAAGACCACTTGGCACTGACATCCACTTGACCAAGGTGAAGCAAGACCACTTGGCACTGACATCCACTTGGGTAAGGGAAGCAAGACCACTTGGCACTGACATCCACTTGACCAAGGTGAAGCAAGACCACTTGGCACTTACATCCACTTGACCAAGGTGAAGCAAGACCACTTGGCACTGACATCCACTTGGCCAAGGTGAAGCAAGACCACTTGGCACTGACATCCACTTGGGTAAGGGGAAGCAAGACCACTTGGCACTGACATCCACTTGACCAAGGTGAAGCAAGACCACTTGGCACTGACATCCACTTGACCAAGGTGAAGCAAGACCACTTGGCACTGACATCCCCTTGGGTAAGGGGAAGCAAGACCACTTGGCACTGACATCCACTTGGGCAAGGTGAAGCAAGACCACTTGGCACTGACATCCACTTGGGCAAGGTGAAGTAAGACCACTTGGCACTGACATCCACTTGGGTAAGGGGAAGCAAGACCACTTGGCACTGACATCCACTTGGGCAAGGTGAAGCAAGACCACTTGGCACTGACATCCACTTGGGTAAGGGGAAGCAAGACCACTTGGCACTGACATCCACTTGGGCAAGGTGAAGCAAGACCACTTGGCACTGACATCCACTTGGGCAAGGTGAAGTAAGACCACTTGGCACTGACATCCACTTGGGTAAGGGGAAGCAAGACCACTTGGCACTGACATCCACTTGGGCAAGGTGAAGCAAGACCACTTGGCACTGACATCCCCTTGGGTAAGGGGAAGCAAGACCACTTGGCACTGACATCCACTTGGGCAAGGGGAAGCAAGACCACTTGGCACTGACATCCACTTGGGTAAGGGGAAGCAAGACCACTTGGCACTGACATCCACTTGGGTAAGGGGAAGCAAGACCACTTGGCACTGACATCCACTTGGGTAAGGGGAAGCAAGACCACTTGGCACTGACATCCACTTGACCAAGGTGAAGCAAGACCACTTGGCACTGACATCCACTTGGGCAAGGTGAAGCAAGACCACTTGGCACTGACATCCACTTGACCAAGGTGAAGCAAGACCACTTGGCACTGACATCCACTTGGGCAAGGGGAAGCAAGACCACTTGGCACTGACATCCACTTGGGCAAGGTGAAGCAAGACCACTTGGCACTGACATCCACTTGGGCAAGGGGAAGCAAGACCACTTGGCACTGACATCCACTTGAGCAAGGGGTGCAAGAGAAGGCAGTTGCTTCCTTGCAACTGCCTTCAACAGATAGCATGGCTATCCCTTTCCACATTAATTGCTTTCCTATCTTTTTGCACTCCTGGAAACACTTATCCATCTCCCTGGAAAAGAACCCAGTGGATGCCCAAGCCGCTTGGACAGAAACATACGTAAAAGAGACCTGGATATTTTGACCACAGTCAGAGACTCTTCAGCAGATTAAGAGAATCTCTCTGGATGAAATGCACTGGTGTAAAGGGTCTCTGCCATCAAAATAAATAAAAGGGGTTTCTGAGGTGGGAATATATGGATGAAGAGGTTTCTGAGGTGGAAATGTGTAGATGAATAGAGTTTATGAGATGGAAATATTTCTTTTTCTTTCGATGCACCGGCCATATCCCACCAAGGCAGGGTGGCCCATAAAGAAAAACAAAAGTTTCTCTTTATAAATTTAGTAATGTATACAGGAGAAGGGGGTTACTAGCCCCTTGCTCCCGGCATTTTAGTTGCCTCTTACAACATGAATGGCTAACGGAGGAAGAATTCTGTTCCACTTCCCCATGGAGATAAGAGGAAATAAACAAGAACTAGTAAGAAAAGAGAAAACCCAGAGGGGTGTGTATATATATGCTTGTACATATATGTGTAATGTGACCTAAGTGTAAGTAGAAGTAGCAAGATTTATCTGAGATCTTGCATGTTTATGAGACAGAAAAAAGACACCAGCAATCCTTTCTTTCTTTCTTTCAACACACCGGCCGTATCCCACCGAGGCGGGGTGGCCCAAAAGGAAAAACGAAAGTTTCTCCTTTTACATTTAGTAATATATACAGGAGAAGAGGTTACTAGCCCCTTGTTCCCAGCATTTTAGTTGCCTCCTACAACACGCATGACTTACGGAGGAAGAATTCTGTTCCACTTCCCCAAGGAGGTAAGAGAAAATAAACAACAAGAACAAGAACTAGTAAGAAAATATTAGAAAACCCAGAGGGGTGTGTGTATATATACGCTTGTACATGTATGTGTAGTGTGACCTAAGTGTAAGTAGAAGTAGCAAGATTTATCTGAAATCTTGCATGTTTATGAGACAGAAAAAAGACACCAGCAATCCTACCATCATGTAAAACAATTACAGGAGATGGAAATATATAGGTTGATATATATATATGAAGATGGCTTCTGATAAAAATGCTTTAAGGCCAAAACATACAGTAGATAAAAGGGTCTTTAAGGTTCAAACATATACATCTCCTTCACCTGTCTTTCATACTTATATCCAAAAAAAGGTTTCTCACTCTGCATGATATGGAAAATTGCATTACTTAATCTAAGTTTTACAAATATTTAAAATTTGTAAAAACCAATGCCAAAATATGCACTCATATTACGGTGCCTATTATATACAGCAGAACCCCCGCATCTGCGGATTCCGTTCCTACAGTTTCAGTTATCCACTGTTTACTGTGGTTTAATAATAACACCAAAGCACAAAAGTAGTGATAATGGCAGTTCTTCAAAGCCTAAAAGAAGTTGTGAAGTGTTTCTCATCAGTGAAAAAGTGATAATTATCCACTTATTGTGCATTATTCATCAATTAAACTGTATCATAGGTGTGTGTGTCAACAAAAAACAACTTACTTATGGGGTTTGCTACTATTCATAGTTTCCGTATCCCTGTGGATACAGGGACTACTGTATATAGAACATTAAACTCAAACATAAACCCTCCTCTGAAACTTTTTCATGATAGCTGAAAGACAACACACAGGTACAACAACACACAGGCACAACACATAGGCACAACACATAGGCACAATACACAGGTACAACAACACACAGGCACAACAACACACAGGCACAACACACAGGCACAACACACAGGCACAACACACTGACACAACACAGGCACAACACACTGACACAACACAGGCACAACACACAGGCACAACACATAGGCCCAACACACTGACACAACACAGGCACAACACACAGGCAAAAAACAAAACTCTCTTTGACATACCTCATGTCCTACTTACCCCCATCCAAAAATTCAATGCATATAAAAGGCCCTAAGATCTGGAATTTATTGCCCAAATCATCAAATGGTCCTCTGTCTGCCAGTTGATTTAGAGCCTTTGTTAAAAATCACCTCATCTCCCTATAACTAAACCTACATTATACTATACCAAACATAAACAGCTCATGCGACTCTACCATCATTCTTCCAGTCTTCCCCAAACTACCATACAAAATTACTCACCTTGCTCCATTTTATTTCTACTGTAACTAACTTCCAGTATCTTCACCATATATTTAAATTGTTTCATAGACTGAACACATCGAGTCAACTGGAAACTGCTTAAGAAATCCATCTTAACCGTAGATCACTGAACTGGATTGAAGTATTAATGATACTTAAAGTTGTATTATGTATTGTTTATTACCTACTCTCATTTTTTGTACATTTAAAAACTCCTACTTAATAACCCATGTCTAGCTCTTAAGTAGAGGAAGGTCCTGCTTACACAGCAGGCTACGTCCTGGGCTACTGCTGTACAGGAGGGCCTTGCTTATACAGCAGGTTAGGTCCTGGGCTACTGCTGTACACGAGGGCCCTGCTTACACAGCAGGTTAGGTCCTGGGCTACTGCTGTACACGAGGGCCCTGCTTATACAGCAAGTTAGGTCCTGGGCTACTGCTGTACAGGAGGGCCCTGCTTATAGAGCAAGTTAGGTCCTGGGCTACTGCTGTACAGGAGGGCCTTGCTTATACAGCAGGTTAGGTCCTGGGCTACTGCTGTACACGAGGGCCCTGCTTACACAGCAGGTTAGGTCCTGGGCTACTGCTGTACAGGAGGGCCCTGCTTATAGAGCAAGTTAGGTCCTGGGCTACTGCTGTACAGGAGGGCCCTGCTTATAGAGCAAGTTAGGTCCTGGGCTACTGCTGTACAGGAGGGCCCTGCTTATAGAGCAAGTTAGGTCCTGGGCTACTTCTATAAAGTGAAATAGCCTAAAAAAGGCCTAAAAAAAATGCATATACCCTCCACACATTACTTATCTTAAAATATTTTCATAATTAGCTTCTAGTGAGTGGTTTACCTGGAGTTTACCTGGAGTTTACCTGGAGTTTACCTGGAGTTTACCTGGAGTTTACCTGGAGTTTACCTGGAGAGGGTTTTGGAGGTCAACGCCCCCGTGGCCCGGTCAGAGACCAGGCCTCATAGGTGAATATTTTTATTTAGGAAGTCTGAATAAATGAAGAATGGCCATAATTGAAAACTGCTGCATTAGCGAAACGCTGTAAAGCAAAACGCTGTAAAGCGAAACACTGTAAAGCGAAACACTGTAAAGCGAAACGCTGTAAAGCGAAACGCTGTAAAGCGAAACACTGTAAAGCGAAACACTGTAAAGCGAAACACTGTAAAGTGAAACACTGTAAAGCGAAACGCTGTAAAGCAAAACACTGTAAAGCGAAACGCTGTAAAGCAAAACACTGTAAAGCGAAACGCTGTAAAGTGAAACACTGTAAAGCGAAACGCTGTAAAGCGAAACACTGTAAAGTGAAACACTGTAAAGCGAAACACTGTAAAGCAAAACACTGTAAAGTGAAACACTGTAAAGCAAAACACTGTAAAGTGAAACACTGTAAAGCAAAACACTGTAAAGTGAAACACTGTAAAGTGAAACACTGTAAAGCGAAACACTGTAAAGCAAAACACTGTAAAGCGAAACGCTGTAAAGCGAAACGCTGTAAAGTGAAACGCTGTAAAGCAAAACGCTGTAAAGCGAAACGCTGTAAAGCAAAATGCTGTAAAGCAAAACGCTGTAAAGCAAAACGCTGTAAAGCAAAACGCTGTAAAGCAAAACGCTGTAAAGCAAAACGCTGTAAAGCAAAACGCTGTAAAGCAATGCCTGACTGTAGTATCTTAGCATCAGTATTAATCTGCCTGAAATACTCAGCATGTTAGTGGCTTTGTTTCCTGCCTGACAATATTACATGTACACTACATTACCTGTACACTGCGGAACAGAAATAAATTATTTGTTTAGAAAGAAGAATAAAAAAGCACAATACCGTGACTGGAACAATACACAAATAACCGGCACATAGGAGAGAGGAGTAGCAATGTTTTGGTCCAAGTCAGACCGAAACGTTGTCATAAGTTTCTCTGTCTTAAATTATCTGTTTGAGGTATTACTACCTGGCGTGAGGTCGTCTTCTTCCTCGTCTGTGGCTGAACGACTCATTTTGTGCAACTTAAAGTGCTCGTTTGGTGTCTCGTGTCTGGACCCCCGCAGTGTGAGCGGCAGGTAGGGAAAGCGGCGAGTGATGCCATTACAGAGAGCCGCTCGAACTTTCTTTGGCATCTTCTGCATCTCATTTACAAGTTCTTGGTCGTGTAGGGCCAAAGCCATGTCTGAGGAGTGAAACAGAAATTATACAAAAGCAACTGCAATAACATCTCTTGGATATAAATGGTATAAAATACCGACATGATGGAAAAACAGACATAACTGCGGTATAATGCGATCCTTTGTTGACAATGTTTCACCCACACAGTGGTCTTTATCAAGTCAAAAACACATCTGTCTGTGACCTGATAAAGCCCAGTGTGTAGGCAAAAAGTAAGTTCTCTTATAAAGCTCTTCTATACATAGTGAAACGTTTTATAAATGCGATTGAAGAAATTCATCCAAAATTAACCCTTTGACTGTCGAAGGGCCAAATCCTGAAGTTGCTTCTGGTGTCGCAAAATATTCGAAAAAAAAAAAATTATTTTTTCTTATGAAATGATAGAGAATCTTTTCCCGATTGTAAAGACACCAAAAAAACGAAATTTGATGGAAAACTGACGGAATTACGCTCTCGCAAAGTTAGCGACTTCGGCGATATTTAAAAATCGGCAATTTCGCCCACTTTGAGCCCTATTTTCGGCTAATTCCTTTATTCCAGTCAACCAAACTCATAACTATTTCTTCAGAACTCTATTTTTTCTATCGATTGATTACAAGAAACTGCCCATTTACCGATTTCAACTACCCAATAACATGGTCAGAAATTTGCAATTTGGCCAATTTCACGAAAATTAAAAAATATGACAATTTCAAAATAAGGTCCAGAATGAACAATGCAGACATTCCTGGCTCTAAAATAACATTTTCTTTGTTCATCAGTCATGTCTCCAGGTCCCTGTGATATTACTCTTGCTTTTTATTTGAAATTTTATTCAAACAAAAAATAGAAGATTTACTGTTATGCAGACTACTGCAATACTGTAATAATTGTAAAAATTACATCAACCCATTCATGACTGCGTATTAGAATGGCTATTTGGACATTTATTGGACAATGACATCATTTGTTCACTTTTGAACATCGGCAAAAATCAAACATTTCCTGTACTTTGTGCTCCATTTCCAGGTTCTTTTTATAGTAAAATTAATCAAAATCACCTCCATTTCTAAATATAGTTTCCATTCTATCAAATGAGACCAAGAAAACGAGAATACAACCACAAATACTATACGAAAATAGACCACAAAGTCGGCATTTTAATTAAAAAAAACGGTCGGAGTTTTTTTTTTCTCATTATGCACTGCATGCTCCAGGATTTTTTTTATGTGGTGCACACTGACCACACAGACCCATTCTCTCACATGTGGGCCTACTAGCTTTCTCCTGCTTGATTTGAAGCCGCTAGAATTTATGAGTATATATACGTCAAACACGGTACCTCGCAAACGTATATATACGGCCGCGACAGTCAAAGGGTTAAATGGCACATACAATAAAGGCCTTGTCACATATTATCAATTTTGAATTTACATTTCAAGTGGTTTTCATGACTTGAAGTGCTGTTGGAGTGTGAGCAAGGTAACATTTACGAGGAGATTCAGGGTAACTAGTTAACCGGACTCGAGTCCTGGAGGTGGGAAGTACAGTGCCTGCACTCTGAAGGACAGGTGGGAATACGTATTTGCAGTTTTGAACTGTAGTAACAGTGCCCCTCTGGCAAGACAGTGATGGAGTGAGTGATGGTGACAGTATTTCCTCTTACTTGGGTCACCCTCCCTCAGTGGGAGATGGTCGATGTGTTAAAAAAACAAATCACATCATACGCACCAAGGATCTTCATTGTACAATATATAAAGGCAACTCTCGACTTACAACCCTCCCCCTTCACTTATAAAAATGTTCTTTCTTCAAAATAGATCCTGAAATAAAGAAATACTTATGATGGTTGGACTTGTGGTAGTTGGACTTATGGTGGTTGGACTTATGGTGGTTGGACTTATGGTGGTTGAACTTATGATGGTTGGACTTGTGGTAGTTGGACTTACAGTGGTTGGACTTATGATGGCTGGACTTAGTGGTTGAACTTATGATGGTTGGACTTGTGGTAGTTGGACTTACAGTGGCTGGACTTACAGTGGTTGGACTTATCATGGTTCAACTTTACGATGGTGCAAAAGCAGTTGCTTGGGAGATGAAACTTAAGATAATTGCCCAGCATGAAGGTGGTAAGTTCCTAACTTGTAGTATTCGTTTATTAACGTTTTAATACTGGTATTTAGTTTTTTAACAAGTCGGCCGTCTCCCACCGAAGCAGGGTGACCCAAAAAGAAAGAAAATCCCCAAAAAGAAAATATTTTCATCATTCAACACTTTCACCTCACTCACACGTAATCACTGTTTTTGCAGAGGTGCTCAGAATACAACAGTTTAGAAGCATATATGTACGTATAAAGATACACAACATTTTTTTTTTTTTTTTTTTTTTTTCAACAAGTCGGCCGTCTCCCACCGAGGCAGGGTGACCCAAAAAAGAAAGAAAATCCCCAAAAAGAAAATACTTTCATCATCATTCAACACTTTCACCACACTCGCACATTATCACTGTTTTTGCAGAGGTGCTCAGAATACAACAGTCTAGAAGCATACACATATAAAGATACACAACATATCCCTCCAAACTGCCAATATCCCAAACCCCTCCTTTAAAGTGCAGGCATTGTACTTCCCATTTCCAGGACTCAAGTCCGACTATATGAAAATAACCGGTTCCCTGAATCCCTTCACTAAATATTACCCTGCTCACACTCCAACAGATCGTCAGGTCCAAGTACCATTCGTCTCCATTCACTCCTATCTAACACGCTCACGCACGCTTGCTGGAAGTCCAAGCCCCTTACCCACAAAACCTCCTTTACCCCCTCTCTCAACCTTTCGAGGACGACCCCCTACCCCGCCTTCCTTCCCCCCATAGATTTATATGCTTTCCATGTCATTCTACTGTGATCCATTCTCTCTAAATGACCAAACCACCTCAACAACCCCTCTTCTGCCTGCTGACTAATACTTTATTAACTCCACACCTTCTCCTAATTTCCACACTCCGAATTTTCTGCATAATATTTACACCACACATTGCCCTTAAACAGGACATCTCCGCTGCCTCCAACCGTCTCCTCGCTGCTGCATTTACCACCCAATGCTTCACACCCATATAAGAGTGTTGGTACTACTATACTTTCATACATTCCCTTCTTTGCCTCCATAGATAACGTTTTTTGACTCCACATATACCTCAACGCACCACTCAACCTTTTTTCCCTCATCAATTCTATGATTAACCTCATCCTTCATAAATCCATCCGCCGACACGTCAACTCCCAGTATCTGAAAACATTCACTTCTTCCATACTCCTCCTCCCCAATTTGATATCCAATTTTTCTTTATCTAAATCATTTGACACCCTCATCACCTTACTCTTTTCTATGTTCACTTTCAACTTTCTACCTTTACACACATTCCCAAACTCATCCACTAACCTTTGCAATTTTTCTTTAGATCTCCCATAAGCACAGTATCATCAGCAAAAAGTAACTGTGTCAATTCCATTTTGAATTTGATTCCCCATAATTTAATCCCACCCCTCTCCCAAACACCCTAGCATTTACTTCCTTTACAACCCCAATCTAATAATATATTAAACAACCATGGTGACATTACACATCCCTGTCTAAGACCTACTTTTACCGGGAAGTAGTCTCCCTCTCTTCTACACACCCTAACCTGAGCCTCACTATCCTCATAAAAACTCTTTACAGCTTTTTAATTTAACTTACCACCTATTCCATATACTTGCAACATCTGCCACTTTTTCCTCTATCCACTCTATCATATGCCTTTTCTAAATCCATAAATGCAATAAAAATTTCCCCTATCTTTATCTAAATACTGTTCACATAAAATGCTTCAATGTAAAACCTGATCTACACATCCCCAAACCCACTCTAAAACCTCCTGCTCATCCGCAATCCATACATTCTGTCTACCTCTAATTCTTTCAATTATAACCCATACCGTACACTTTTCCTGGTATACTCAGTAAGCTTATTCCTCTATAATTTTTACGGGTCTCTTTTGTCCCCTTTCCCTTTAAAATAAAGGGACTATACATGTTTCCCCTGCCAATCCCTAGGTACCTTCCCCTCTTTCATACATTTATTAAACAAAAGTACCAACCACTCCAACATATATCCCCCCCTGCTTTTAACATTTCTGTCATGATCCCATCAGTTCCAGCTGCTTTTAAACCCCCTTTCATTTTACGTAATGCCTCACGTACCCCCCCCACACTTACATTCTGCTCTTCTTCACTCCTAAAAGATGGTATTTCCCTCCCTGACCAGTGCAATGAAATTACTGCCTCTGTTTTCTTCCTTAACATTTAAAAGTTCCTCAAAATATTCTCGCCATCTTCCCAATACCTCCATCTCCCCATCTACTAACCCCCCTACTCTGTTTTTAACTGACAAATCCATATTTTCCCTAGGCTTTCTTAACTTTCTTAACATATCCTTAGTATATCATATTCATATTCGACTTACGATACTTTTGACTTACTGTGGGTTCATTGGAACACAACACCACGGCCACGCTAGCTGGAGATTCGTCTGTAAAAACTTTCATTTGTGGTCACAGTGGTGCCTATGCTAACCTTCCTATGGTGTAGAAATACAGTGGACCCCCGGTTAACGATATTTTTTCACTCCAGAAGTATGTTCAGGTGCCAGTACTGACCGAATTTGTTCCCATAAGGAATATTGTGAAGTAGATTAGTCCATTTCAGACCCCCAAACATACACGTACAAACGCACTTACATAAATACACTTACATAATTGGTCGCATTCGTAGGTGATCGTTATGTGGGGGTCCACTGTATACCTAGTTGGACGAATCTTATTCTGGGTAGCTGGTCCAGTGGCTAAAGCGACAATTATTGTGGCTAGCTGGTCCAGTGGCTAACGCGACAATTATTGTGGCTAGCTGGTCCAGTGGCTAACACGACGGTCTGGAGTTTTGAGACTCTCTGATCGTGGGTTCTATCCCCACCCGTGGTATGGCTTGTTTGCAATCGTGTCATTACGATTTCGTGAGTCATGTTAACTGCTTTGAGGGGACTTGAGCTAGAGTTCGTCACGGCCACGCTAGCTGGAGATTCGTCTGTAAAAACATGCATTTGTGGTCACAGTGGTGCCTATGCTAACCTTTCTATGGTGTAGAAATATACCTAGTTGGACGAATCTTATTGTGGCTAGCTGGTCCAGTGGCTAATGCGACGGTCTGGAGTTTTGAGACTCTGATCGCGGGTTCTATCCCCGCCCGTGGTATGGTTTGTTTGCAATCGTGTCATTACGATTTCGTGAGTCATTATTACCCATCATTATTATTACTTGCATATTCATGGGAAGCACTAAACCTGTAGGAGCTATACAGCACCTTGGAATGGAAGGCAGTCAGATTTTATCCAGGAAAATATATTTCCAAAATAATTGGAAGGAGAGCTCTTCACCAGCATGGGCACAGCTGTCTTAACAAAAGTTAGAAACTAGACACAGAAATAACCTTTACTTACCTAGATCAGTAGGATCATAGAGTGCAGTTAAACCTTTAGCCATGGACACTTTCTCCCTCTCCTTGGCCCCTAAGGCCCAGCGATTCCACTCAGCGTTACATATAATGACTGAGGCAGGGCAAAACGGCAAATGTTCAGCTACAAATCGGCGCTGCATCCAGTGCGGGCAGCCATAACCAGCGTTGATGCAGGGCACTCTCTCGTGGCTACATATAAGACGATGTTCTTCCATTTTGCACACGTGGCATCTGTAATGTTGGGTCATAAAGAATAAGAAGGCACAATACCGTAGCTGGAACGATACACAAATAACATGCTCATAGGAGAATGTAACTTATGACGATGTTTTTGGTCCAACTTAGATCATTAACCAGTCAAAGAATGAGACACTTGTGCAATATTTGGGAATCTTTATATAGAAACGTTTCACCAGCCAGTGGCTTCTTCAGTCCAATACAGAGAAAAATGATGGAAGACATTTAGCTTAGGATATTTATTAGAGGAAACGTTTGGCCATAAAGCCTTTCAGGGCAAAACGTTTCCTCCACCTGAACTGTACATAAGTGTCTTTTCCCACAAAACAACAGGCTAATAGAACTGGTAGCCAACACTCTCGTGGCTTTACACCCTGAGAGTCCAGGTTTGATCCCCAGTACGGGTGCAAACATTGCGCATGTTTCCTTACATGTGCTGTCCTATTCACCTAATAAGTAAGGTACCTGGGTGTTAGTTGCCTGGTGTGGGTCGCATCCTGGAGGACAAGATTGAGGACCACAGTGGAAATAAGACAGACAGTCATTCAATGATGCACTGCCTTTGTTGGGTTATCCAGGGTGGCTAACGCTCCGGGGTTAAAATTTCGAACAAAATCTCTCTCTCTCTCTCTTACTGTGGTGCTGCAGTTTTCCTGTTCTTGTTAACTGTGAATTCTGGCAAACTTACCTGTGGCCACACCCGTTGGAACACACATCAAACTCGCAGCACCAGCCAGGTTTGGGACGCTCTGTACACCTCATCATCTTGATGCAGTGTTCACAGTGGAAATGTATGTTAATGTCCACCTCATCATCATAGTCGTCAGGAAGGGCAATGGATTCGTCACTTCCCTCGTCATTGTCCGACTCTACGGGTGCTTCCATCTCTGCAGAAGATGTAAATGATTATTACAGGGAAATCCTAAAACCATAGGTTCATACGACAAAATGAATTCAAAGTCAAAGTTTATTTCCACAGGCATTTTAGTAGCTTTGTGCTTAACAATATTTTATCACATGTAAACTACACTTTATACACTACACAAAGAAATAAATTATTATTATATTATTATTATTATAATCAAGGGAGAGCGCTAAACCCGCCAGATTATGCAGCGCCTGTGGGGGGGATGTGGAAGGTATTCAGGCTTAATTCAGGGAACTGGAGCACAGATCTAATTCCCTAGTTCAAAAGCCCTTCACCAACATCAAAGAACCTTTCTTGAAGGGACAAAGAAATAAAGGTGTTTATTATTTATTTATACAGTAATGGGTGACAACAGAATTCACGCAAAAAGCCCATGGTTATACAGAGCATTTTGGGCAAGTTGAAGCCTAACTTTAGACTAATAAGTGCTACAACCATCAGAATGTTTAAAGAAATTAAATGATTGTAATAATGTTGGTAGAATTACCGACAATATGTGAAGTAAAAGGACACAAGTGCAACTAATGTGACATTTTTTTGTGGCAACGTTTCTCTCTCCAGGAGCTTTATCAAGCCGATACGTATCGCCTTGATAAAGCTCCTGGAGAGCGAAACGTTGCCACAATAAAATGTCACATTAGTTGCACTTGTGTCCTTTTACTTTACAAATTAAATGATGATAAAATTATTAACAATGGGACGCCATGAACACAGCTCTGCTTATGTAGCTACAAACAGCCGATTTGTATTGGTCACCTTATGGAAAATAGGACTAAAAAATCTTAATGGATGTAAGCCAGACAGTCTGTCATGGCTTCCCTGGATTATCCTGGGTTACTAACCCTCTGGAGTTTACCTGGAGAGAGTTCTGGGGGTCAACGCCCCCGTGGCCCGGTCTGTGACCAGGCCTCCTGGTGGATCAGAGCCTGATCAACCAGGCTGTTACTGCTGGCTGCACGCAAACCAACGTACGAGCCACAGCCCGACTGCTCAGGAACCGACTTTAGGTGCTTGTCCAGTGCCAGCTTGAAGACTGCCAGGGGTCTGTTGGTAATCCCCCTTATGTATGCTGGGAGGCAGTTGAACAGTCTCGGGCCCCTGACACTTATTGTATGGTCTCTTAATGTGCAAGTGACACCCCTGCTTTTCATTGGGGGGATGTTGAATTGTCTGCCAAGTCTTTTGCTTTCGTAGTGAGTGATTTTCGTGTGCAAGTTCAGTACTAGTCCCTCTAGGATTTTCCAGGTGTATATAATCATGTATCTCTCCCGCCTGCATTCCAGGGAATACAGGTTTAGGAACCTCAAGCGCTCCCAGTAATTGAGGTGTTTTATCTCCGTTATGTGTGCCGTGAAGGTTCTCTGTACATTTTCTAGGTCAGCAATTTCACCTGCCTTGAAAGGTGCTGTTAGTGTGCAGCAATATTCCAGCCTAGATAGAACAAGTGACCTGAAGAGTGTCATCATGGGCTTGGCCTCCCTAGTTTGAAGGTTCTCATTATCCATCCTGTCATTTTTCTAGCAGATGCATTGATACAATGTTATGGTCCTTGAAGGTGAGATCCCCGACATGATCACTCCCAGTCTTTGACGTTGGTGTTTCGCTCTATTTTGTGGCCAGAATTTTGTTTGTACTCTGAATGAAGATTTAATTTCCTCATGTTTACCATATCTGAGTAATTGAAATTTCTCATCGTTGAACTTCATATTGTTTTCTGCAGCCCACTGAAAGATTTGGTTGATGTCCCCTGGAGCCTTGCAGTGTCTGCAATGGAAGACACTGTCATGCAGATTCGGGTGTAATCTGCAAAGGAAGACACGGTGCTGTGGCTGACATCCTTGTCTATGTCGATATGAGGATGAGGAACAAGATGGGAGCAAGTACTGTGCCTTGTGGAACAGAGCTTTTCACCGTAGCTGCCTCGACTTTACTCTGTTGATAGACTACTCTCTGTGTTCTGTTAGTGAGGAAATTATAGATCCATCGACCGACTTTTCCTGTTATTCCTTTAGCAACGCATTTTGTGCGCTAATTACGCCATGGTCACACTTGTCGAAGGCTTTTGCAAAGTCTGTATATATACATCTGCATTCTTTTTTGTCTTCTAGTGCATCTAGGACCTTGTCGTAGTGATCCAATAGTTGAGACAGACAGGAGCGACCTGTTCTAAACCCATGTTGCCCTGGATTGTGTAACTGATGGGTTTCTAGATGGGTGGTGATCTTGCTTTTTAGGACCCTTTCAAAGATTTTTATGATATGGAATGTTAGTGCTATCGGTCTGCAGTTCTTTGCTGTTGCTTTACTGCCCCCTTTGTGGAGTGGGGCTATGTGTTGTTTTTAGTAACTGTGGGACGACCCCCGTGTCCATGCTCCTTCTCCATAATCTTCTGGAGATAAGTGGCATTAAATACTGACATATAAAAACAAACACAAACACACTATAATGCGATCCTATACCGACTACGTTTTGCCCACACATATCACCCGATGTGAGTGATAAGTAGTCAATAAAAGATCATATTATACTCCATTTATGTCTATTTTTCCATAATCTTCTACTGTCTCTGGACCGACTATTATCATGGAAAGTGCTAAACAAATAATTACGTGCATAGCATTATAATTTTGTTTGTGAGAAAACAATAAACCTGCAGGGGAGGCACACAGCACCTGGGGAATAAGAAATAATCAGGTTTGATCTGTGGCAGGGATGGATAGCTCCAATTCTTTAAATCAAGAGCCCTTTACCAGTATCAAGGCATGCAAAATAAAACTAATAAAGTTTCTTATTAAATAAACTAAATGAAAACATAAACATTAATAAAATCTCAATAATATTAAAAAATCTCATAAATATTCATGTCATCAATATTCAAAAATCTCATCAATATTCAAAAATCTCATCAATATTCATAAATCTCATCAATATTCATAAATCTCATCAATATTCAAAAATCTCATCAATATTCAAAAATCTCATCAATATTCATAAATCTCATCAATATTCATAAATCTCATCAATATTCAAAAATCTCATCAATATTCATAAATCTCATAAATATTCATAAATCTCATAAATATTCATAAATCTCATCAATATTCAAGAGGGCTGGCTGTTATGCGAAATGTTCGGTATGCGAATGAATTTTCCCCATAAGAAATAATGGAAATCAAATTAATCCGTGCAAGACACCCAAAAGTATGAAAAAAAAAATTTTACCACATGAAATATACATTTTCCTACACACAAAGAGAAGGATACATGCACAATAGTAGAGTAGTACATGCACAATATATATTGTGCATGTACTACTCTACTAAATGAAGAATAAATGACACTTACCTTTATTGAAGATGCAGCAATGACTGATGAGACACTGTGTCCTGGGAGTGCCTTTTCCTCCTGAGTACTGTAGGTCCTGTTTGGCATTTTCTTCCAGAACAGGCCTTATCACACTGTGTATGCCACTACGATTCTTAAATCTCTCAAACCAACCTTTGCTGGCTCTAAATTCACCAATATGAGCACTAGTTCCAGGCATTTTCCCTGTTCACCTGGGTGTTAGTTGACTGGTGTGGGTTGCATCCTGGGAGACAAGATTAAGGACCCCAATGGAAATAAGTTAGACAGTCTTCGATGACACTGACTTTTTTGGGCTATCCTGGGTGGCAAATCCTCTGGGGTTAATTGTTTCTTGGTATTCTCAATAAGCCACACCAACAACGGTGCTACAGCAGCAGCAGCAGCTGACGGTGGTACAGCAGCAACAGACAATGCTACAGCAGCAGCAGACGATGCTACAGCAGCAGCAGACGATGCTACAGCAGCAACTGACGATGTTACAGCAGCAGCAGACGATGCTACAGCAGCAGCAGCAGCTGACGGTGGTACAGCAGCAACAGACGATGCTACAGCAGCAGCAGACGATGCTACAGCAGCAACAGACGATGCTACAGCAGCAGCAGACGATGCTACAGCAGCAACTGACGATGTTACAGCAGCAGCAGACGATGCTACAGCAGCAGCAGCAGCTGACGGTGGTACAGCAGCAACAGACGATGCTACAGCAGCAGCAGACGATGCTACAGCAGCAGCAGACGATGCTACAGCAGCAGCAGACGATGCTACAGCAGCAGCAGACGATGCTACAGCAGCAGCAGACGGTACTACAGCAGCAGGAGCAGCTGACGGTGGTACAGCAGCAGCAGCTGACAGTGCAGCAGCAGCTGACGATGCTACAGCAGCAGCAGACGATGCTACAGCAGCAACAGACGATGCTACAGCAGCAGCAGACGATGCTACAGCAGCAACTGACGATGTTACAGCAGCAGCAGACGATGCTACAGCAGCAGCAGCAGCTGACGGTGGTACAGCAGCAACAGACAATGCTACAGCAGCAGCAGACGATGCTACAGCAGCAGCAGACGATGCTACAGCAGCAGCAGACGATGCTACAGCAGCAGCAGACGATGCTACAGCAGCAGCAGACGGTACTACAGCAGCAGGAGCAGCTGACGGTGGTACAGCAGCAGCAGCTGACAGTGCAGCAGCAGCTGACAGTGCAGCAGCAGCTGACAGTGCAGCAGCAGCTGACGGTGGTACAACAGCAGCAGCAGCTGTACCACCAATAGTAGCGATGGTTGATTGGGGTTTATTATACAACCTGGCCAGCTCGGAGACACGCACTCCACTTTCATACTTATCAATGATCTTTTTCTTCATCTCCATAGTAATTCTCACCCTTATTGCTGTAGGGTTGGCACTAGAAGCTTTCTTGGGGCCCATGGTCACTTATTTTCCAGAAAAAAATCACCAAAAACATTGTAATAATACGAAATGTTCCGATTGTATGCTTGGATGTTACCGCGGAGGCTGGCTGGTAAACAATGCCACCGGCGGAACATGTGAGCGTGGCTCAGGCCGCACATTGGACGCGTCTCGGACGAAGGGCACTGAGCGGCTTTTTGGGCGGTATGCGAGGCAAA